GTTTATTCATTTTTCCACCCATGAACGAAAAACGAAAATTTAAGCTGAATTCTCGTTGCTCGTTTTTTGGAAAAAAACGAATGATACACGGATTCTCCATTCTCAGATCTGAGATGCAATACAATCAGAGCAAAGAATCGAATACAGGCAGACGAGTAGAAGTTTTTAATGAGATGTGGGAACTCTTTGCTGAATGAAGTTGGATCTTCTAAATCATACTATCGATTAGTTTATAAAATTGTACTTATGTAAGTCTATACATTTATGTATATTTATTTATTAGTGCAGTCAATATTAATGCGTTAATGCATGCAATTAATTTTTTCAGTTTAACTCCTTAAAAATATTTAACGCAATTAACACTGGAGCTGGACAAAAATTGTGTTTATTTAGATGCAGAACGTCTTTACGACCACATCAAACGGGAGACTTTCAGACGAATGCTCCAACTTCACCTCAAATGAGCGAGGAAAAGATCCAGGTGATGAGAGAGCTTCAGCAGAACAACAGTGATCTGCGGTCAGATGAGATGCTGTCAGGCCACATGTCAGTAAAAAACAGTTATATATATATCTGAAATGTTATTCTGTGCTTGTAGCACATTCTCTTCAATTGCACGCACAAATACGGCAGTGCACACAGTGTATCATTTCATATTAAAGTGCAAAATAACCTAATAACCAGCTGCTGTGATGTCTGTTAATCAAAGAAAAAAAGAGGAAACCAATAACTTTCGTAGCTTTAAGGATTCATCTTTATTTCAATTAGAATTTAGTGTTTGATAACTTTATTCAATTTCTGTATATTTCCTACTTGCTGAAGGGCACAGGTAGCTAAATATGACATCTATTATAATGGGTTTATGTGAAGATTGTTTTAAGTTATTTTAAGTAAATTTTTAAAGGCTAATAAATGTTAAAATTGATATTAATGGTGAATGGCTATAGCCATTGGTTAAATATTAGAAAGAAAGAAAAAATTGGTTTAATGGTATCAGATATACTTGCCGTCAGTCATAAAAAAGATGCCATTAAACAAATATTAAAAAGATATGTTATGGTATATATGTCTTTGTGTTGTTTCTACATTAATTTGAAGATTGAATGTGAAATTATTGCAATATAAAAATATATTTTAAAACTTTAATGTTAGGTGGGATTAATCTCAATTGCGATTAATCTCAGAAAAAAAAATTGTAATCGATTAACAGCACTATTATTTATATATAAAATTAATGTATGTATTTTTGCTTGGTTTGTCTTATTAGAATGTTTTGAGATTTTTTCCCTTTTTTTCCCACCTTTGTATTGTATTTTTATGTATGGAAAGTGTAAAACCGCCAAAATGTTGACGCTTCAGTTCAACCTTACTTATTTAAGAGAATAAACCTCATTGGTTCTCATTCTTGTTTGAGCTTCTGTTTATCATATTTGATGTGATCTGTGTATGTGCATTGATCAGTTTTTATCTGTCAATAAAAGCCTAAAACTAAACCATGTGTCGTCATACAAGACTTCTCAGAAAACTTGGATTAAAGTGCTCTAAACATATGAAATAGGTTTACTTGTGCTATATTAACTTTTTGAAGTTTTGGTGGAATGGATTTTCAACGGAGGGACAGAAATATTACATCATTTAAATATCCTAATTTGTGTTTCGAAGATGAAAGAACATTTTATGGATTAAGAGTGGCATTTATAAATGTATAAGTGCAGAGTGATGCAGTGATACACATCCTGTGTCAAAGGAACTCATTAATGCGTTTGATGACTCAGTCTTCATCACAAACCCCCCGGTGAGATAACTATGTTCTGACAAACCTGTTTCCAGACACGTCGAGCACGTGCAGCTCTGTAGCCTGCGAGAGCTCGGGAGGGATGCGTGTCAGACGGTTCTCTCTCACACACAGAACATTCAGACTGCAGCAGCCGCCAATCTGAAACAAATCACAAAACAACATGAGCAAATTCCTTTGTGACCAGTGTGAAACACTGGAAATCAGCACATTACCCTGTCACAAGAGAGCACAACATTAGCTCCACCAGTATATGAATATTTGCAGGAAATGTCTGAGAAGACAGACAGTAATGAACAAAATGAATTGAACACAGCTGCATTAACAGCAAGCAAACTGCAAACTTTCCTTAAAAAAGTGGTTTCAGTGACAGAAGCAGTTAGAGGTGGTCTGAACTCCAGTTAAAGGGCAGCTAAAAGGCAATGAAAGCTCTCAAACGTGAAAGATTTTGAAGCAATGGATTCCTATGTAGTGATTTACACCCAGTGTTAATGTCGTTGACGAGCTAAAACTAATATCTGATGACGAAATTATGACGAAATTTATGCCGCGTCTTCGTTAACTAGACGAGACGGGACTATAATGTTATTTGAGGACTACGGGACATTCAAAATACATCCTATAGGCTACTGTCTTGTCCTTCAAAATGTGCGTCCCTGTCATTGGATTGCAATCGGATAAGGGGCGTTTGCATATCTAGTCTCAGTATGGCAGCCGCAGTGGATGGGCTACCAAAATGCGAACTAGCGATCTGAAACAATGGCCTCAGCACCCGAAGGGGTAGGGATAAGGTGACCAGGCTCCCATTTTTCCTGGGAGTCACAATTATGTGACTAAGACTATTAAGCATTTTCATCTCAAGATAAAGATTAAGACTAAATCAAAAATGCCTGTCAAAATTAACACTGACACCAAACATGAACATTTGCTTTCTGACTGATTAAATTATTATTATTTTTTTTACTTTCATCTGTGTTAAGACTTGGTCAATAATGCTTAAAATTTGTCATTTTTCAATAGCTGGAATAAGCTTTTACTCAAAGTTGGAAGTTTAGAGGTAATAACAATTATTTATTTTTTTATTGTTAAAAATAAGGGTGCACGATAAATCATATTTTAATCTTTTCTGCTTCTCTTGATTAAGCATAATCATCTGCAATATTGGCCAGTTGGTTATTTATCCTGATTTATTATTATTATTATTATTTGCCATTTCTGTTTTCTTGCATTGGTTACAAGCCTCTTTGATGCTTCATGCTCAGGGTTGCCAGATGTCAAGAATTAAAAAGAATATATTTTCTTCCCAGTGTTTTACTTAATTTTCCCAACCTGGCATCCATGCACACAAGCTGATGAACTGAAGACTAGCAAAAACATATCTGATTATGATATTCTGCTCAAATGAAAGTGTAATACAGCCAGTTTGTTCTCCTTCATGAGGCTATTTGCTGCAACTAAATCTGTGAGGAAACCTTCTCAGGTGACGAACTATGATAAATCCAAACAATGAAGCATGGCTATATTGTATGTGGCAGCTGTAGTCTGTTTTATTGTTTCAATAGAAACATGTTACCATCATGTGGAATTATTGGAATTAATATTAGAAAACTTCACTGTTTTAACATCTAGTACAGCGGAGAGCAGACAGGAAGCGGACTGGGACAGAGAGAGGGGGGCAGGGGAAACCTGGTACTCGAATTCAGGTCGCCTGAAGTGCATCTGTGCTAGATGTCAGAGCACTGCCCAGTCGGCTCAGAGAAGTTTCTCAGGGTTTTACCATAGACTGTATAAAAACATGGACGTAGTGTCCGTGATGTCACCCGTAGGTTTCTGAAGAGCGGTTTTGAAGCTCAAAGTTGGCGGAGCGAGCCGTCACCATCTTGGAGCGCGTCACTCCCGGATAATCGAAAATGGGTAAAGAGGTGGGAGCTGGTTGCTGAAACCACGGCCACCTAGCTCGACGGTGGTGACAGCAGCGGCAATCCATCTGTCACTCAAGTGGCCACGCCCTTAATTATGCAGAACTTTAAGGCTTAGTATAATTTAAACGGATGAGTTATAAAAATATTCACCCCCCTCACAGTTGTCATGAAGGGCAAAATTAGCTATATAGACCAAAACCACTTTTTGTACCAGGCCGTAAGCACATTTTTTTCTGCTGTAAAGTTGGGCATTTTAACATTGGGGGTCTATGGGACTGACTCCCTTTTGGAGCCAGCCTCTAGCGGCCAGTCGATGAATTGCAGTTTTAGTCACTTCCGTGCTGGTTTCACGAGAGAGACCGGAAGGTTGCCGCTTGGGTTTTACCAGTTTTATGCTGCAGAAAGTGTGTTCATTTATATGATAAATATAATAAATCAGGAATCTAAATGAGGTAATGAGTTGATGTTCTCTTGATTTGTGCATGCATGGAAGCGCAATAATTTTGATTAAATAAAATTAATTTCTCAAATGAGAACTGTGATTAATAATTGTGATTATAACTGATAATCACGATTATTTTGCTCAGTTTGTCATTACCCTACACTCTGACATAGCTTGAACATGAAATAAAAGAAAATGAGAAAATGACATTTTGTGGCATTTTCCTGTGTTGTGTCCTGATTGAGTGAGGTCAGAGAGGTCACAGCTGAGCAACGGTCTCAGAGAACAAGCTGCCTCATTCATGCAAAGCCATTGTTTAAACAACACAATAACATTCCTCAAATCCTGTCAGCTGTCACCAGCGCCCGTCTTCACCCCTCGTGGAAGTATGGAAGAGAAAGGGGAAAGAAAAAACCTTCAAGAATAAGAGATGAAGGTTTCTCAAGAGCATAAGACACTTGAGGGCCGTTGAAGATGACACAAGATACAGAACAGTAACACAACGGGCTGTGTGTTTGTCCGGGCGTGCGTGCCATGGGCGACCCCATCCCGAGTACTGTAGTCATGCCACAAAAACACACAGCACTACAGATTGTATGGGTAGGCAAGGCAGTGTCATGTGATGGGTGATGGCAGGTTGCCCCAGGCCAGTATGCTAATAACACTGACTGACCTACGGTGCGGTTTCACTGAATCCGGCCCTGGAACTGGATTTGCTGGTTAGGAAGTGTAAGGATTACCTTTCATTAGACCAATTACAGCAGCAGCAGCAGCAGGGCCACTATCGCATGAGTCAGCATGTAAACCAAAGCACTCATGACAGACACACTCACACATCCCTCTTGTGTGAGCCTGTCTGTCATGAGTGCTTTTGGTCTATTTACTCGAGCCAACGCAAGCTTGAGCTATTGCTGCAAGCAAGAGGCAAAACAAAAGGTTTTGAGAGAGTTTTAACAAAGGAGGCAAAGTCTTACTGTTTTAATGCTCTGAATGTGAACATATTTTGGCAAAGTGCTGTGATCATGGAGATTTTTAATCTTAAAGACACTGGACTGTAAATGCTAAGGGCTGCGAGATTAAGGCTGTTCAAACTGCACATGATTCCAAAATCAATTGATTGTATTTGACGCGTAGGAATAACATATTAACATTGTAATTTTGCAAGTGATGATGTTTGTACAGCCAGTGAAGTCAATATCCAACATACCTGCAACTTAATTTAATATATAAACTATTTTTCATCTAACTTATCTATTTAAAAAATAAAAAATCTACAGTACTCAACATAAATACACACCCCCTCTTCCCACTAATACACTTCATGGAAAGATGGGAAAAATGAAATGCATTAAACATATTCTTAACAAAATCTTTGATAATTGATCAAGCAGACTTGGTGGAAAATTATGTCTCGGAAGAACCTTAATATGTCTTCTAAGTAAAGAAGTAACAGCTAAATTTGTTAAGTTTCAGAGGGTGTGTACTCATTTATGCTAAGTACTGTATATCCATGGCTATGCGAATATAGTTTAAACAACAGTATTAATACTAGACCACCATAAAACTATGGTAGCAATAACTTCAGCACTGTGACATCACAGACTATCAGAATACATTTCAAACAGGTGCTGGATACTATTTTCTCGACATAAAGGAGCTTTGGCAGCACTAGATACTGTATCTGACATGCAGCAGTTGTATTATAACATCATAATGGTCTAACCATAAAGGTTTTTGTATTTCATGTACAACAGTAACAAAAAGAGTCTTGCTCAAACACATTAAAAAAAAAATCAGGATAAGATTATTCTGGAAAAAGCATGACATGATTTTCAAGGACTTGTTCTAGTCATAAACAACTCAAATGTCCTTCAGTGAAGGTAGCCATTAAAAAGAAGGATACTAACTTTTTAACCGAACGTAGGAGTAGTTTAGCATTTCAGTTAAAAAATACCTGCAGGATGACCTTGAGCTAATAGAAAAGACTCTTTTTCCCACTCAATGTTTCATTATCCAAGTAATTACCAACACATATGCAATAAAACATAATAATAACTTCCATTCTTGATTATGTTTGTGAACTTTGTGGACTCATATGCAAAGTGAAGTCTAAATATACAGTGTATGGGTAAACTAGCAACAGCAAGAAAAACTACTACCAAATGTATCACCGAGAATTTGCCATAGGCGCCACTGTATTTATTGCATATGTACAGTAAACACACGTTGTCACCCGTGGAGTGAAGTGTAAGCGAGATGTTTTAAAAGATTATTTCAACTAGGAATTCATAACTACAATTTGATGTGTATTCAAGTGACTTTGGGTGGAATAAAATGTACAGGTTGTACGTTTTAACACTAGCACAATAACATGAGTAAATAAAAGATTTACATTAGGTGTGTAGTTTATGGGGGAAAATGATTGGAAATAGCTAGGGGTGACCCCGAATAGTCGACGATCCGATGCTTCGATAGGAGGAGCCTGATTCGACTATCAATCTCACAGTCGAATATTCGCGGGTGTTATGATCATGCCATTTTGGCTATATGGGGGTGCTCAAATGTCTGATTTCGCATAGAACTACCGGTTTTCTCCCAATAAGTTAATATACAGCCTATAATATAATGTTGTAAATTAGAATCAGAAAATAAAGAAGCTTTAAATAAACATTTTAACGTGCGTGAATAAATCCAACCACCACTATAGATTTAAGTTTCACTTTCCATAATCCGTGACCGAGAGAGAAGCATCTTGGCGGCAGGGATTTAAAACTTTAACAAGACTCAAATTGACACAGGCAGAGTGAAAGACTGGATTTTTTCGATCAGGTAGGGTACAAGTGATTTCAAAACATTTCAGCCGGTTTATATATATCGTGTACATATTATTTATCTCGTATAAGATGCATTTGGTTGAGTTGCGCTGCAGTAAAGCGCTTCATTGTAGTAGGCTAGGCTACTACGGTGATTATCTCTTCAGCGCGCAGCGCGAGCAGGACAAACAACAATGCAGAATATTAATAACTATGACTGGGACTGTCATATACATAACATTATAATGAGAACACTATTATAATAAAACGCTGTGAATTTTTTGAGTTTAGTTGCCGTGTTTCTGCACGTTGTTGCGTGAAGAACGCGTCCACAAAAGAAGTTCATTCAGAGCCGCGCAGACACGTTCATGTGCATTCGGGGCATTTTGTGCAGATAGCCTATAAGTCGTAATATTAACGTTATGTTGTATAAATAACAAAGCGTATTCTATATGAGATAAATGACTAGTTAAATCCCATTGATTAAAAACCTGCTATCAACTGCTTCATTCTACTGGTCATCTTCAGCGCGCGCAGCTCAAAACAGACATGCAGAACATTAATAACTACTATCATATACATAACGTTATAATGAGAGCACTATTGTAAAAAGTGTTGTGAATTCTTAGGGTTTCGCTGACGTTTAATGTTAACGTAACTATCTTTTAATCAAAACATAAAACATTATTTACCCCGTTTGTATCAGCTAGCCGTCCGTTACACATTTTCCCTCTGCGTCAGTATTAATGACTGTCAAATGTATTTTGACCCCCCTCCCCCTCCCCCTCCCCAAACATATGATTCGACTATCAGTGTATCGGCAAAATTCGAAAATTCCGATTCGTCTTTGCAAATCCTTAGTCGGGGAGGGACACCCCTAGAAATAGCTATGTTATAGTTATGTCACCCAAGCCTGCCGCCTCATGAAATGTTCTGCTTGTGTTTCGTGAATAAGGCCCAATGACTAGGTTGGCATACCTCTTTTGGTAAAGACATTAGTAGATTCCTATCACAGTTGAAGTTGGACAGTTTCTTTAGTTTTCCAATACTTCTTGGCAAACTCTGAGGAAAAAAAAAAATGGAAAAACACTTACACTAATATCTACTTTAAAAAAAAAATGCATATGACCAATGATAAGACTACATGACAACTCTAATGAGCAAGCCAAGGTTTTTTTTTTTAAGGGCATCATTACATAATGGATTTTACCCCCTCAGGCTTATGGTCAGAGGAGCTCAATCCTGCCCCTGGAGATCAACCTTTCTTTTCTGCAGAGTTGAGATCCAACCCTAATCAAACGCATAAATAACCACGCTTCTGGGGTTCACAAAATGAGAGCAGGTGTTAGAGCAGGGCTGAAACTAAACTCTGCTTTTCAAAGGCCTGCCCACCATTAAAAATAATTACTTTAGTCAGCCCCACATTCTTCTTCTAATTATTGATATTGTTGTCAGCAATTAAAGTGATGATTTAAAAAAAAAAATACTTTTAAAAGTTTAAAAAATATATTTTTCATACATATTTCTTAAAAATATTTTAATTTAAAAAGTATGTGTTGAACTGATATTCAATTTAGTTGTAGTTCAAAAAAAAGAACTAATTTTAATGACCAAAATGTTTAGCTGTGACCCACATTTTGTACTGCGTGATTTTACCCATTAATGAATGAGTGAATGAATGAATGAATGAATGAATGAATGAATGAAATGAAATGAACAAAACTATAACTAATTTTAATGACCAAAATGTTTAGCTGTGACCCACATTTTGTACTGCGTGATTTTACCCATTAATGAATGAGTGAATGAATGAATGAATGAATGAATGAATGAAATGAAATGAACAAAACTAAATTAAATTAAATTTAAAAATGTGGAAACTTCCAACAGCATGGCATGAAGTCAAGTAAAAAAAAAAATGGAATTCCACTCCAGAAAAGTGATTCAATTAAATACATATAAATAAATAGCAAAGTACCTATAAAATAAATGTAAATTAAAACTAAAATGAATTATTATAGGAGTAATACTTGATAAATTAATTGCATTTTTGTTTTCCCTCTTGCTAATTGAACGCATGTAGACAGTTAGTAGGCTCAAGTGCTTTAACTTACCACCAGCTGGTTTTCTGTCAGCACTAGTTCTGTCAGGCTTTCACAGTTGCCAATGCTCTCCGGCAGGTGAACTAATCGGTTTTGATCTGCTTTCAATATTGAAAGCCGTCTTAATTTTCCTAAGGGAAAACATATATTACAGTATAATTACTGCATACAAACAAAATCAAACATCACAGCTCACTATCGTGCGCTTTTAACAACAACAACAGTGGATCAGTAGGTTAACCACAAGTACAACTGCTCCATTAATAAACGCTCTGCTTTTTCTAAATGAAAAATCAAACTCCATCCATCATTAAGGACAACAACTAAACAGAAGCACGCATAAACATACACACAGGCACTGCAGTTCGTAGTCGGGTCCTTAACACTGACCTAAGCCCTCCGGCAGCATGTCTATGAGGTTCTGGGACACCAGGAGGTCAGTGAGGGAGAGGAGGTTCCCCATCTCCTCTGGCAGGTGCTCTAACTTGTTCTCGGATACATCCAGACACGTAAGGCTTCTCATACTCCCCAGTTCCTGAGGCAGAGAAAGCACATGTGCGCACCAACACACACACACACACACACACACACACATGTAAACATGTATGTAACCACATGACAAACAAGCACTACTCTACACTGCTCAAAACTCGCGGTTGAATCGTCAGTGGCAAATTCTTGAAATATGAAAACGTACTTACAGGCTGTGAGTCAGAAGCGCCTGACTGTCCTTGTAAAGTTGGAATTGCCCCACTTTACAGAAACCTCCAAATTAGAGATGTCGTGATCACCCAATTTCACAATTAACCACGATTAAAATAGTCATGGTTATTAACGTGTACGAAATTGGGAGCTACGGAAAATCTGGAAAAAACTGGAAAATCTATTTTTAAAAATGCACTGAAAAGAAGTCTATCAGACTGAGATGAACTACTGGCATGACGCCTGTGCTCTGCCGTCTGCTCGGATGGTCTGTAAGGCTGTGGTGCGCGCACAGAGCGTGAACTTTCAGAGCATTCTCTCAAAATGAAAACATGGAGGATCAACACAATTTCCTGGACTTGTATCTGCCGAAAAAGTGTTTTAATTAAGCTATTTAGGAGCATTTTGGCTAACTAAAAAAAAGGATTCAGTAGTTGAAGACGGGTTCCCAATATGCAAAACATCCAAACAAAAAGCATCAGCAAACACATCTGATGTTTCAGCACCTGAGGGATCACCATCTGATTCATGCCCAGATGAAGGTAATATAAGGTAGAAGGTATGAAGGTAATACATATACATTGAAAGGGTATATATACTTTTTTTGTTGTTTTAAAGGTTCGTTTTGGTTTCAGAGTATACTTTACCTGTCGGTTTTCTGTGAAAAGTAGGAATATGTATGTTAATATGTATGTATGTCCTAACAACTGATGCAATAAAACCATTAATATAATGTTGCTAAATGTTTGTGGGGGTTTTATTAATAATTAATAATTAATAATTATTTAAATCTATAATAATCTTAGAAACTGTGATTGTTTTATCAGGCAATAACCGCATAGTAAAAAATAAAATTTTGTGACATCCCTACTCCGAATTTACTCACATTTCATGAGGCCCAATGTCTTTATGCAAAATAAACTCTCTTTTGAATTTGGGATGAAATGTGAAGTGGAAATGCCTTCTTCATATTCAGCCCAATACTCAGATAAGGTTCCAGAGATGGCGTGACAGCTGACATATACCAAGCCTTGTGCAGTCAAAGTCATTATTATTGTCATTAGTCCATTTAGAGCTAGTCATGAAAATCACAACACTTACCAAATTATACAGTTCATTGCTTCCAACATCCAGTTCTTCAAGTTTCTGAAGCTGAGACAGAGACCTGAGAGAAACTGGATGGAATAAATATGAATTTGCTTTTGCCTTATGCACACACATGCACAGCGTTAGGAGGCGTACACTTACTCTGGTAAATATGTCAGCAAGTTCTCACGGAGTTCCAGTGATACCAAGTGACAGATGCTAGATGAAAGAAAGAAACATTGCACAATCTTCAGTATAATGTTATATTTAAACCATTACACATTTTGAGCAGTGGATTATTTTGCCCTGATGAATTTCATTTGCATTTCAGGAGTAACATTATTTTGATTTCAGAATTGTGATTTGTTTAGCACTTCTCGGCCACCGTACAAAACCACTCACGTTTCTAGACAAACAACTGTCAGGGATAAAGGGTTTCATTTCTCAGTAAATGGATTTAAAACAAAAGCGAAAAAAGTAAGATGAAAGAAGCAATGTGTGGCTATTTGACCTCTTCAGTCAGTCACAGGGACAGCTTGACTTCGAAAACAAGAAGTGCTGCTATTTGTCACTATAACTCCACGAACATTTAATCAACCCGGAGAACGGACAAGAGTTCAACACGCTTTCAAACGTCTGGAGCTCAAGGCTATAGAGACAGCTAAAGTCACACAGACATTAATCAGGTTTGTCTCCTGAAATGAAAACGGAGAGAAAAAAAAAGAAAAAAAAAAGAGGATTATTGTTCAAGGCAGCAGCGAATGGAGTATTTCAATTCCACAGACGAAAGCCTTTGAATACTGCAGTAATAACTGTCTGCAATCAGTCATAGTGTCATTACTGCACATTAATGTTTTTTGTTCGCTATTCGAAATAATGATCAGCCGAATATAGGTGAGGGATGTGCATATGTGTGACTGTGCTGACTGAGAGGATGCAGTGAGGAGAAATGTCAGCTAAAAGATCACAAGACAGTATTGAACACTCTGGAATTGATCTCTATAATAATATCTGCTCACTGACAAAAGATCTCTGCCTCACTGAGCCAGATTAAACCATCGACAAAAAAAAAACTAATAATTTTTTTCCTCTTTCAGGCATTTTGCTTGTGTTTGAGGTAAGGCAAGCACAAATTCATCCACAATTCTCATAATGCCTCCATATATTTTACTTTCTTTTACAGGCAGTTCAACAAATACTACCATGATGTAAAAAAACACAAAAAAAACATTTACATATTGTTGGCATTGCGGTAATAAGATGTTTTTTTTTTTTGGTAATTAAATAATGAAAATGAAAATAATGACAATGCAAAGAAAGAAAAAAAAAGATCCTTCATTTCCTTTAAGCAAAATGTAATATCTTATTTCTTTTTTTAATAGTAATAATAATATATATATTACATATTTGGTCTTGTCACAAATCACAAAAAATAATATTCCACAAATACTGATAAAGTTGCTTCGGAGCATCAATGTGCAGACTTTTTTGTGTTTTTTATATTTAGTGTTTTATAGGGATGTAACGATTCGCTCAACTCACGATTCGATTCACGATTCTGATTTCATGATTCGATTCACGATTTTTTTTTTACAAAATTAGATTTAAGACAAATGATAAATTAAATGTGTCCTTTTATTATTGCTTGGACAAAATGCTACACGTTTCTTTGTGAAATTGAAATATAACATTATAGTAATATACTAATATAGCACTTGCATATTATTGCTCTTTTGTTGGTTTTGATTGCTTCTATTGTCCTCATTTGTTAGTCGCTTTGAATAAAAGTGTTTGCTAAATAACAAAATTTAAATATAACCTAATGTAAATGTA